AAATAGGAAAATGAGATTGGAACCTTGCCATTCAACCCGCTGCTCCACCAAATGACTATTTGAAGCCTCTTCCCTAAGGAAAGCATTTGCCAGGAACCTGCATGAGGTCAGGGACGGAATTGCTATCAGTCAAGTCTAAAATTTACATATGATCTGTCATTTATACCAACCTTTTCTTCTTTTTATACCAATAATATACTAACAGCCTTTGTTTACACAAGTTCCAATCACAAAGTAATTTAACATTAAGCAGAAAACTGCTCAGCACTTAGTCATACTGTATATTTAAGGACAATCTTACTCCCTGAGATCAACAATAGTTCCATTAAGGTCTTCAGAAAGCATGAAATCCCAATATCTAAGCATGAATTCTAGCTTTTAGGCGTTCGGTGTGCCTCCGCAAAGGCACATGCATTGGTCTCTCGACTTCAAAATAGAAGCTATTTTACCATTTTCTTTTGGGGTTATAATGTTCAGTGAGCTCAACATAGAAGGAGCTATAGCATCCTCATAAAGGAAAATAAACTTGGACTTTTGGCAACTAAACTATTTAATCTCAGACGAAATTCCTAGTAAAACCTAAGAAAGATTAATCCCAATACATACAGGACTAAATTCCTAGGACCCAAACCAAATTTCCAAAAGAGTGCAACAATTGCGTCTTACCATTGTTACTTCAGAATTAGGAATGCTGACACTGACCATTCTGCCATCAGACAACACAGAAGTGCCCTAGAACAAGGGACTTGAGGTAAAGACAGGCAGACTAGCAAAGGACAAGAAACATTTCCCTTGCAGACATCTTCCTAGCCGATCCAGTTTTTTTTGCCCATTCTAGTGATATTAATCAACCAGCCAACCAATCTTTGCACATTTTACAGTAACATCCATTATATTTTTTTCTCTAAAATTTTCTCTTTGCAAAAAACCTGGTATAACAAAAAGTCTTTCTTTTATGTTTTATTTTTTTAAGGTTAATATAAATAAATATATAAATTATTTCTAAACCTTTAATTAAAAATTGATTTTAAAAAGTCAAAAACTACAATTATTTTAGGAAAAAAATAATTTGTGATTTTAAAAATTGAAACATCCATGAGGAGAAAGGTGGACCAATAAAAAATTGGGTATAGGTAGACCAGGCGGCCAGCAACAAAGACCCAGGGAAAGAAAAAAAAAATTAATTTATGATTTTAAAAATTGAATAAGTGATAAAGTGTAATTTTATTTTATTATTTTAAAAAATTAGATCCATGGTTTTAATCCAATCCAAGCCAACAAATGTTGTTCCATGATAATCTAATCCAAGATAGAACCAAATCATAAAAGGACCAATCCAACTAGAATTGACAAACAGGATCTGTCACTTCATGTTTCAAATTTAATGAGCTGAGTTATTTTGGATTAAAAAAATAAATCCATAATTCACTTATACAGGTTTAAATTGAGTTGAATGAACTTAATTTTTTGAAAAATTAAAAATTTTTTAATTTTTTTAATTTTCTTTAAAAGATTTAATATTAATTGATTGTTTAATAAAAAAAATTCTATTAAGTTATTAACTCTAATAATTTAATAAATAATAATTATTTTATAAAATTTATTTTTTTATATTTAAAAATTAAAATTAAAAGCATGACCAAGTTCCAGCCAATTTTTGGCTTAATTGAGATAATTAGGTTCAAGTGCTTTGTTTAGGGTCCAATTATATATTGAGAGAAATAAAGAATTAAAAATGGAAGAGACATGAGCTTTTCGAGTGATTTGACCCAAACCAAACCAAACCAAACCAGACCAAAACAAATTAATTTAAGTTGAATAATACATTAATTAGATTGTATCTGCTTCTTCAAATTGATTAGATTGGCTGGTTAAACAAATGATAAAAAATGGAATCAAACCAGACCATAAGCACCGTGGATGAACCCTAAGCTATCATCATTGATCGAAGAAAACGCTGATGGTGCTTCTTTTTTACAAGAAGGGAGCACCAGCAATACCCTTAGTTGCCAATAGGAGCAGGGACAAATCCAGAAATTTGAGTTTGGAGAGTAAAATTCTAAATTTTTTTTTTTGAGTCATTTAGTTTTATTTGACTATATTTTGTATAAACCTTTTTCACAACTTTTATAAAAATTTAAATTTATTATTGTAAGGACAGGTTTGAGATTATCAATCTTAGACACGTTGCATGTACCTTAAGCTTGAACCGTTCTCCATATTATTTGAGCTCTGATCTCTCGATAATTGAGGTGAGACCCAAGACTAAGCTCTTTCCAGTTGCATAGTAACTACAGTGAGAATGCACTCACCTGATCTCTCATTCCCAAGATGCTCATTTTTATGAATACATCAGATTCTGATTATTTTGTTAAGAAGGCCACATGAATACTCATTAAAATCTATAAATATCTCGAGGGTCACCTCTTTAAGGAAATTGAAACCAACCAAAAGACTTTATTTCCATTATTTCTTAAGAGTAGGTTGGACTATTGTTGATTTAAATATTGAAGTGTCTATCTCAAAAATCAACTTTGAGGCTTTGCAAGTCTATTCGAAAAAAGGATTTGGACTGAGAAGGACTTGCATGTTTGTTGCAATTACAATTATAATTAATTAATATTTTATATAATTTTTCTAATTTTTATTCATATTTTATATATTTTTAGGTTATTAAAAGACAAAAAAACTTACACCTACTGTACAATACTGATAAACAAAACTTTGACAGTTTATGTTAGTATAATTTATATTGTTTTTTAAATTAATACTATTTTTATGAATGTATCACTTATATCTTCAATAACAAATTTTATATTAACTAGATATATTTAACTATTTTTGAATAACATAGAATTTAAGATCGTTAAATAAATAGTATAAAAATATAGCTTTTTTTTTTTTCTACTAAGGTTATATATATCAAATGAACTTTGATTTAATAGAATATAATCGTACAGAAAAAAAATCATATATAACTAATGCAAAAACATATAAGTTTGTTTTTGGTTAAATGCTAAATTTGGTCCCTCAACTTTAGTGAGTTGCACATTTTTGGTCTCTTAATAATTTTTTGCACTTTTTTGATCCTTTAACTATACGAAATGCACTTTAGTGGACTGATGAATGTTAACAAGCGTTTGACGAGCTCAAACAATATTTGGCATCCGCACCCCTGCTGTCCAAGCCTGTCGATGGGGAATGTTTGTATCTTTATCTGGGGGTCACAGAAGAAGCAGTGAGTTTAGTGCTACTGAGAGAAGAGAATAAGAATCAGAAGCCTATCTGCTACGTGAGCAAAGTGTTACAAGGTGCCGAGACAGAACTACCCGCTAGCAGAAAAGGCTGCTTTTGCTTTGGTCAGTACAACTCGTAAGCTGAGAGCTTATTTTCAGTCTCATCAGATTGTTGTTTATACTGATTTCCCACTAAGGAAAATATTGCAGAAGCCAGAACTCTCTGGTCGGCTCATCGGATGGAGTGTCGAGTTGAATGAGTATGACCTCAAATTTCAACCGCGCACGACTATAAAAGGTCAAGCTATGGCAGACTTCTTAGTAGAATGCGCCCCGGCGACTGTGAAAGAAAAGGCACCTGAGTACCCAGTTTGGGTTTTGTACGTTGACGGAGCTGCTAATGCCGACGGATCGGGTGCTGGAGCTGTGTTACTGGGCCCTGATGGCTTTAAATCCGAGCATGCGTTGAGGTTTAAGTTCCAAACAACCAATAATGCTGCAGAGTATGAAGCCCTCATTTATGGATTGAAGCTGGCGTTCGAGCTGAAGGTACAGAACATTCAAGTCTTCAACGACTCTTAGCTCGTGGTAGGCCAGATAAAAGGCAGCTGTGAAATCAGGGATCCTCAGCTTGGTCGTTATACTTCTGTGGTCAATAAATTGAAGTCAGGATTTGCCTCTTTCCAGATCGACAAAATACCAAGAGCAGATAACCACCGAGCTGACAAGCTGTCAAAGTTGGCCTCCTCGCGGGACTTTAACCCTCAGAGGTCAACCATCGTTGAAGTGCTGGACGCCCCGAGCTACATTGATTTCACGGTCGAGTGTCAACTGCTAAGCACGGATCCCTCTACACCGAGCTAGACTACCCCACTCATAAATTATTTGCAAAGTGGCAAGCTGCCTGAAGATCCGTCCGCCGTGAAATTGATTAAACGAAGGGCAGCATATTTCACTTTGTTAGATAACCAGCTCTACAAATGAGCAGCCTCAATGCCCCTATTACGCTGCCTTACTCCTTACGAAGCTGAATACGTCGTGAGAGAAGTTCACGAAAGAGTATGTGGCACGCACATCGGCGACAAAACTTTAGCTCGGAAACTCCTGAGGCATGGGTATTACTGGCCCACCATGGTCGAGGACGCGCAGAGCTATGTCAGAAATGTCCGACCTGCCAGTTCAATGCTGATGATATACACATGCCAGGGGAAATGCTATTGTCTCTCACGTCTCCCTGGCCCTTTGCTCAATGGGGTGTCGACCTGCTCGGCCCTTTTATCAAAGGCAAAGGAGGATGCACTTTCTTGGTCGTTGCAGTGGATTACTTCACTAAGTGGATAGAAGCTAAACCGCTGTCCACGACAACAAAAAGGAAAATAGAAGAATTCTTGTTCAATTCAATATTGTGCAGGTATTCTTTGATGACCGAGGTCATAAAATATATGCAAACGGGATTTGTAGCTCATCTCGCTCATCTGTGTGCAGGTTCGGCGTACCTAAGCGGATCATCGCCGACAATGGGCCGCAGTTCCAAGTAGCAGCACTAAGATCGTTTTGTAACGATTATGGCATTGAGCTCGCCTTGACGTCCGTGTATACTCCACAGTCCAACGGACAAGCCGAGTCTGCCAATAAAATCATCTTGCGAGGCCACAAGACGCGCGTTTTGGCTGCACATTCTAGTTGGGTTGACGAGCTCAACAAAGTGCTTTGTTCATGTCGTACTACTCCCAGCTCGGCCACGGGTGAAACCCCCTTTAACCTGGCCTATGGAGCTGAGGCCGTCATCCCGGTAGAGGTGGGATTGCCATCTGATCAAGCAAGCTAGCATGACGATCTCAACAATGAGCAACTGTTGAGAGAAAACCTAGACTTCGTGGAAGTGGTCAAGGAGATGTCTAGAATAAGAAACATGGCGCATCAAAGTCGTGTTGCAAAGTTTTACAATAAAAGAGTTCGAGCTCGCTAGTTTCAAGTTGGCGACCTGGTTATACGTAAAGCTGGATTGACGAATGCTTACTCGCACATGGGCAAGCTCGCACCTAATTGGGAAGGACCGTATATGGTTATTTCTATTCAACGACCTGGGTCTTACCGGTTAGCAGATTTACAAGGTCGTCCATTACCATTCATTTGGAACATACACAACCTTAGAAAGTTTTACAGTTAAGAGTTAGCTGTTCAATTAACGTGTATGTTATTAGTGTTCGGGCCGTCATGGATCAGTTGTAAATAGCATTTTATAGAGAAATCAAAACACAGAAAGTTCAAAAAGGGAATTCAATTTGTATTTAATCAATGATCATTTACAGTGGAAGTACATGACATATAATGTCATTGATCAATACAAGTAAGCAAAAGAAAATACAAAAGACAAAAAGAAAAAACCCTAGTCTAGTCATCCGTCAGGTCGACAGGCATGGATGCATCAGCAGCAGCTGTAGGAGAGCGAGCTGGAGGAGACCGGGCTGTGGGCTCAGAGACTGGTGCACGGACGGGCGAGCTGGCTGGCACCCCTGTGGGCTGAGAGTTGGGTGGGGTGCTTGAAGGCTCCCACTCAGCTACAGGAGCACCCTCTACCCATGCGTCAAATGAGGGCAGGCCTGTTGTATCTTCCCCGTCCTTCAGCACGGACGCGGCCAGACGGGCACGCCCTCCTCGTTTAAATCCCATCTCAGCCTCACAGTCGTGTCAGCAAGGGGAGCAAGGCTCTTACCCTGGTCGTCAAGCTCCTCCTCGCCAAAGAACACTAGCTCGCGAATTGGAAAATCTGGGCGGTGGTGCAGCACCTTCCCACGAATCTCGTTGTAGATCTCCGTGGTTACGTTTGCAGACGCCACCGCCACTGCGTCTTGGAACGTGGACGAGCCGACCAGCCATTCTGCCCCTTGAGCTCGGGCAATACCAACGGAGCGCGCATGAGATGCCTTCAATGCGTTCAGCGCCTCTTCGGTAGCGTTGAGGTTCTTGTCAGCCTCAGCGACCTGGAACTTCAGGGAACCCAACTCGGTCTGAGCACGATCCCTCTCGTCCTCAGCCCTCTTGGCCCGCTCTTCAACCCGAGCGGCCTCGTCCTTTGCCGCTTGAATCCCGCTTTCTCTCTCCGCACGGGCTTGCTCTAGCTCCTCCTTGAGCTCATTGATCCTATTGACGAGCTCGTCCGCTCGGCTCTCTGCAGCCGCAGCTCGGTTCGCCATTTCAAAGCCTTGCAAATGATTCACATCATCCACAAGGCTAGCCTTCTCCGCGGCCAGCTGTTTGCACTTTGAGCCGAGCTCCTGGTTTTCTGTACGAGCCCCCTGCTCGCTCTTGTACAGCGCTACTGCGTAGTTAAACACCTGCCAAAACAGTGGTCACTGTTAGTCTCTAAAAAGGAAAAGCAAAACATTCAAGCAGGTACGAGTAGATACTTACATCCATTAGTTTTATCATGGCGACCTGCCCGCCATGCTGCTGCACAAAAGCTTTTGCTCGCTTGCTATCCATGGGGGGCACAAAGCTGTGCATGCCTTGCACCATGGCGGGCTGGCACTCCGCCCGCACATAGCTGAAGCCCTCAGGATAAGTAATCCTGGGGCCTGACATCGAAGCCGATGTAGTGGCAGGCTCGATTGTTGCCCGCGCAGTAGTTGACGGCGCATTGGGTGAACGCACGGTTGCAGGACGAGCCGCCTGCGCGGGCTGAGTCCCCCCGCTTGTTCTACGTCGAGCAAGAGGGACCTCATCTTCCTCGCTCTCCGTCTCCTCGTGTGCACGCCTACGTGCACTCAGGGCCGCAACCTTAACTCTGTGTTCAGCACGCGGCCTAGATGCCGAGCTGGACCCTCGCTGGGACGAGCTGCGCGATTGAGGCGCGGCTAGCGGTCGCTCGTTGAACCGTGTTTGTCTCTACGAGGTGCTGCCCGGCCCGCGACCTCGGGAGCTCTGGGCTCGCTGATGTTGGCGCTCCAATATACTGCTCATTTCTCTTGCACAAACAAATACATAAGACTCAGCTCGGCTAGAATTCAGAATATACGATAAATGTATACCTTCAGTGAACAGGTTTGCCACATCGACAAACCCGAACACAGCAAGCTGCTCCGAGGTAACCAGGGTGTCTAGATCTATCAGATTCTCCCTCCTCGCATAGTCCAGCAGCTGATTTTTGAGGTTTGTGTCCCGTGGCAGTAATTGAGGGTAGTTGACGTGTGCGTTGGGCACACGCCACTCGGATAGCGGGGCAGCGAGGTCGCTGCTTATCCTTTTCGTTCGCGTGTCGCGAATAAATATAAATTGCCTCTTCCACCTCGCCACTTTGTTCCGGACATTCTTGAACAACTGGCTCTTGTCTCTCCCGGAAAGGTAGTACCACTTCGTGCCTCGGGAGTTGGGACACAGCTGGCATTGAAACAGCGACCTGAACACGATCGCCTTGGCCGGTACCTCTAATCGCTCACACAAAAGCATAAAGCCAATGATAAACCTTATGCTGTTTGGCGTCAGCTGCGTCAGCGCCAGCTCGTAATCCGCCAGCAGATCGAACACCAATCCGGGCAGGGGAAACCGCAGGCCGGCGTCAAAGTGGTCCACATACACTGGGATCCAGCCCGTCTGTGACACCATGCAAGCCCTCTCATTTGGTGCGCCTGTTCGTAACAGTATTGTCCGGGGAACGTGGTACGCCCTCACTATATCTTCCAATTTTTTGTACCCGCTGATTGAGGGTGTGCAGTCTGCTACCTCATGATAAAGCGCGGCTCGGAACCTAAATCCAGCGGGCAGGTCCTTAGGCGCCTTTTGCAGGTTCTCCAACCTGCCCGTGATTGTCCTGCTCTCCCACTCACCAATCATGGGCCAATCTGAGACATGGCTAACCACATCCCCCATCCCTTCCTCGTGGCTAGGTGTTTTTTCTTAGGACGAGCTGCTCGACAGTGCAACACGGTGGTCGCCATCGTCATCCTTAGCGCTCGAACTGGCGCTTCCCTCAGGCGCCATTGTTTCCGGCGAATCCTGCAACTCAGGCGGCACTATCATCGTGATAGGCTCCACTGATAAAACCGCTTCCTCTTCTCCATCTCTGCCCTGGTTACCTCGTAGCTCTGATATTTCTCTCAACGAAACCATTTTACCTGAAAACGACGTGAAGCTAGTTCGATGTTCTGTTCTTCAAGATCGGAGTTGCCTCGCTTCAGAGAGTTTTAGAAGGTTTCAAGCAAATGCAAAAGTGAAAATGGAAAAAGAAACGGTTACGCAAAGGGAAATATGCCAGTCTTAATGGCTGTACGTGTGTCTCTGACGCGCCAATTCGCATCCTACACGTGGCACACGCTTAACGTCCCTTTTGCATAACGTGCGTCGGCTTTAGCTGTCACGTCCCTCAAATGCTGAGCCAGCATTTATGACGAGGAAGACAGAGGGATACGGGGAGATCAACCGTATCTCCTTAGAGATTTGGTGGATTTTCAAAATCCACAATGTTCAGATCGTAACGGCTGATCTGTAGCCTACTCCGTCACATCAGCTCGCCGTTGCGAACACACTTACTAGGTCGTAACAAATATGACATATTTGCCAGGTCGGCTTACCCGTGACAATTCGTTTACAATTGTAGGTCATTTACTAAAATCTCCCAAAGATTCAGCTTGTCACAGACCAAGGCGCACCTGAAATCATCCTATTTAACAGCACTACCCGTGTTGCCTCCAAAATTTCAGCTTGCGATCATGGCAAAAGAGCATCATTTGGTTGCACTCCGCAAATAATCAAGGGTCGGGTCGCCACACGCCCTCCAGCAGGCACGTTAACGCGGACGAGCTTGTTCAAAAGGGCGTTATGTACATGGCCGTTCCTTATGCGAGCTCATCTACGGTGAACTATCTCAGCTCGCCACCATAACAAGCCCACACTAGTGCGGCTAAGGATATCAGCTCGCCTCCACACTTTCAGGTTCGCGAGCTCGCCCCTTTTCGTATTACCTTTCAGCTCGGCCGTCAACAAGGTCGACCGTAAGCTGTTAAAGCTATCCGTCATGGTCACCAGCTAGCACGTTGACCCACGGTCACATCCACCCCAGTTCGTCAACCGAACACCGGGGGGGGAGTAATGTTGGAATAGGCCCAACACCCAAACAAGGCTGTGCATAACGGGCCTAAGTTACCACCAATTAGCCCAAGCTGAAGGAGCATCAGTACAAGCATACCCACGTGACCAGCGCCGCGTGGGCCAAGGGGATGCTTACACGTGCAGATGTGTGTCAGCAACAAGGGGCTATAAATACCCCCCAACTACCTCCGAAGAAGGTAATAAATCTCTACGCTTCTCTCTCTGCAATTACTCTTGGAGAACTTCTCTCTCTATAACATCGAGTATTGCTAACTTGAGCGTCGGATTGTTTTCCTCGAGGAAACAACCTCGGGATTTTCAGGTGTGGAAGCAGGTAAGAACTTCAACAATGTTGGACTGCGAAGCTGCCCAAACAATTGCTTTATCCCAAAATGGAGGATGACAAAGGTTTAGGACCAACCAGTTTTGATTTTAGGACAATGAAATGTCCACATGACATTAAACAATTAGACACCCACAGTATCACACCTTTCACCCGAACAAAAAGAATCAACAAAAATTACATCATTACTTCCCGTCATGTCGTAATATTTTGTTGCCAATAAATCATTTTCCAAGAACCCATTGCTTGAATTTACCAAAATCTTAGGACAAGAACACAGTAAAAAGAGCCCTAAACTCAGAGTCTCGGCAAAATGCACACGAATCCAGACATGCAGCTCCCATCAGCTCTGATTTCCCAGATAGAAAACAATATTGTATGAAGAAACACAAAGGATTGACGAGGATCAAAATCATTACAAATGTAATAGATCCATTGGTCCGTTTCATTGTCGTTACAGAAAAATCACTTTCTATCCTAGTTTCACCTGGTTCTAATTTCCGCCCCTGATGGTGACGAAATCTATGAAGAAAGCTACAAACACCGTTTGGAGTTGAGATCCTCCCTTTATCTCCTTTTTGTTCCTATATCTTTCGGGCTCCATTCCTCCGTTTTAACATCTATATGTAGTCTCCAAACTAGTCATGCTCCTCATAAGTAGTAGTATCTCAAGTGTTAGTAATCACAACCTATGACTAAAATACATGTTCATAAAGTATCTTGAGGGATTGAAGCCACTTAAAATCACTGCAGAAGGAAAAAGAAGTTTCATTTCAGCTACAATATGCAATCAGAAACACAATCAGGAAACAAGTTCAGTACTTACAGACTGGAGAAAGGACGATTACAATGCCAATTGGGTAGAGGAAAAATGTTGTCCTCTCCAAAAAGGGTAGTACTACAGCAGAAAGATGTACCAAATCAGCAAGGCGACCATTAGCTATTTCTTAAATTCAGAATCAACAGCAAAGTTTGACAATATATCAAGTCAAATTTCATTAAAATGTTTCAGCTGAGACCCACAAAGTTCCATCATTAATTCTTACTTTTTAATACCAAACATGATAAAAACCAGAAACCACACATCAAGCAGGAAATTCATTCCACTAATTGATTGACTTAATCAATAAATTGTGAACCATCTTTAACCGTAAGAAAATCTTTTCCTATATGAACATGTTATATATCAACAAAAAGTAGAAAGACAAAAAGGGTGAGATTTATGTTTTTCTATTTCTATCTTTGGGGAGGAGGGGAAAGGACTAAACAACCTTTAACAGTAATAATATCTTTCCTAAATGAATATTTTATACATTAATATTGCTCATAAGCAGAAAGCAGGGAAAATGATTGCCACTATTTTGTTTTATTTTTTTTAAGTTTGAGGAGAGGCATGGGAGTTGGGAGTTAGGTTATTATTGAGAACAAAAAGCATAAAGCATGTTGTGTTTTTGAAAAGAGATTTTTTTTTCCCCTTTTTGTTTCTTTCTTGCTTTTTTTTTCTCTCTTTTTTTTTTTTTTTTTTTTTTTTCAGAGTAACTCTTTCTTTTTAGTAATTGAATGAAAGGCCTATCATGGCATCACCACTGGCATCCCCACCCCAGAGCAGATGTCAGTACAACCACACTAAAGTGAGAGAGTAAAGTGAGAGAGCCCCATCAGTAACTTCTGAGATATAGTTATTTTTTACTCCAGCCAAACCCCGGAAATAAATTATAAGCAGCAAGTTCAGAATTAGCTTACCATCATAACCTAAAAAGTTGAGATAATGATAGTAAGAAGCAGCCAGCATGAATAGCAGATTTGACAGCAGTACAGCCAAGAAGCCATGGGCTACCAGAAGAGGTGATAGGAAATAATGTATAACTGTTGTAGAAACATGATATTAGCCAGATTATGGTCCAGTTGCTTGAGGTTATTAATATTTAGGCTAAACAGGTTTATAGAATTACCATAAAGCATAACAAACATTGGGAAGAATGAGTTGCAGTGCACATCAAACGCATAGAGCCTGTCCAAAGAAAACTCCAGTCAGAACCAAACAATTCCTAGAAAAGTAAGACACAAATATTTTGTTGATTATGCTTGTTAAAAAATTAAATTAAATTAAACACTGAACAGATATATGGACAAAATCTATTAGCATTAAAAAAAAAATATGAACCAACCACAAAGAGATAGTATTACCAGATTTTAGCTCGGGTTGGTTCAGGTAAAGGGATTAGCAAAGCCTACATCTATTCCATAATAACATCTCCTATGTTAAAAAACTAGAAGGACGTAAAGCCATTACAAATTTTATTACTAGAAAATAGGAAAATGAGATTGGAACTTGCCATTCAACCCGCTGCTCCACCACATGACTATTTGGAGCCTCTTCCCTAAGGTAAGCATTTGTCAGGAACCTGCATGAAGTTGGATAGAAATGCCATCAGTCAAGTCTAAATTTTACATTGATCTGTCATTTATACCATAAGACTGTTCATCCTTTTTCTTCTTTTTATCACAATAATATACTCACATCCTTTGTTTACACAAGTTCCAATCACAAAGTAATTTAACATTAAGCAGAAAAGTGCTCGGCACTTAGTCAGACTGTATATTTAAGGACAATCTTACTCCATCAGATCAACAATAGTTCCATTAAACTCTTCAGAAAGCATGAAATCCCAATATCTAAGATCCTAAGCATGAATTCTAGCTACTAGGTCTTTGGTATACCTTTGCAAAGACACATACATTTGTCTCTCAGCTTCAAAATAGAAGTTATTTTACCACTTTCTTGTGGGGTTAAAATGTTCAGTGAGCTCAACATAGAAGGAGCCATAGCATCCTCATAAAGGAAAATAAACGTAGACTTTGTGCAACTTAAGTATTTATTCTCAGATGAAATTTCTAGTAAAACCTAAGAAAGATTAATCCCAATACATACAGAATTAAATTCCTACAACCCAAACCAAATTTCAAAAAGTGAAACAATTGCATCTTACTGTTGTTAGTTCAGAATTAGGAATGTTAAGATTGACCATTATGCCATCATACATCATAGAAGTGCCCTAGAACAAGGAACTTGAGGTAACGACAGGCAGACTAGCAGAGGACAAGAAACATTTCCCTTGTAGACATCTTCCTAGCTGATCCCTTTTTTTTTTTTTTGTTCCATTCTTATGTTCATACTGAAGTTCACACTCTGTGATATTAATCACCAACCAACCAACCAACCAATCTTTACACATTTTACTGTAACATGCTTCCAATATATGTTTAACATCAACATCTAAAACAGTAAAACCATATAAACGTAAAAACTGGTGACCACTGAAAGCATTCTTATTGTTTTGGATAGTGAAGGGTTTAAAGCTGTTTGTATGAGGCTTATAAGGGTCAGACCAAGAATCGCCCCTAACAAATGTATTCTTTGGAAAGCAACTCCATCAAGAAGATTAGCTAAATTAGTCTGTGCCTCATAATTTTATTATCATGGGAATCACAGATGAAAATGCTGGTAGAAATGTTTTAGAATAGAGCGGCCCATACCAGCAACATGTAGCGAGAAAAACTCCAGCGAGCAAAAAATGGAAAAGCAATACTGAGATAACAACAAAGACAGCATGTGAAGAACTGTGGTCATACCTGAATTAAAAGAAGATAGCAAGATAACATTATATCAAGAGTTGAATTTGAATTTCCCATTAAAAAAAAAAAAATTGTTGAATTTGAATTAATGAAAAAAGGTTTTACAGGGTAGAAGTACAAAAGTAAACTATTTCAGAGGTATTAAAAATTTTGGGCAAATCCATCAGCTAACCTGCAAGATGTTAGTACTTCAAATAAAACTTCAACTTTTACTAGATCACAAATGAAATTCTAAGGATTGGAGAATTTTACATCACTATTCTCTAAGCATCATACCATGTCAATTCTTTAAGCATTATAGCAATGCATCTCGCTCTGAGTCAATAAAATTTTAACCAAAAACATACCCCAGAATAGCCCAACCACTGTTCAAGCTAAGGCTGATTAGCCAAATCACTATAGTAGTGGCCACCAGTAAATAATAAGTCTAAATATTTAGCCATACTTGAAGAATAGAAGAACTTACGCAGCACAATAAGCAATAGCTGCAACAACCAAAAGGAGGCTGCAGATCACAACAAAAGCAGGGTCATCACGTGCCCACTGGTTTTTAGTTTCTGAGAAAAAATGGAAAAAATAAACTTCATGTCACATGATAGACAGCAGAAAACCACACACACACACAGAAGGAAAAAAAAGATTGAACAATTACAATGTTTACAAAATTTACATTCTAAAAGTCAATATCAATGGCATCAACTAACAAAATGTTACAGTATTTGAAGGTTTAAGTTGGTACAAATGTTGCCACTTTGGCTGCCATAATACCAGGGGCACATTCTTCTGCCAAAGAAGAATGCACTTACAAGAAAGATTGCAGAACCTTCTAAAAAACAGTATATGCTTAAGAAATAATATCTGGACCAATCACAAATTTTACAGCCACTTAAATCTGCTTTTCAGGAAAATAGCTTGCCATAATTAAGAACAGAAGTACTCAGTACTGAATTAAAATGAACAGGTGAAAGCAAAGGAATTGTTCTTTAACAAGAAACAGGCTTACGTTTATGATACTTCGTGTGCTGATAGCTGAATCGACCACAGAGTTCCCCATGCAAAATAAAAGAACAGTAATTAAAAATTACCCTGTACATTGAAGATATTTTTTCTGTATTTTTCATTCTAAAAGTAGAAAACCAAGGTCTAAAGGAGAACAAGACTAGTGAGGCAATTCAGCAACCAACTAATTTATTTACTAAATTGGGTAAGGTTTCATCTTCTCTTCATATATATCCTAGCAACCAATTTTTGTGAACCAAACATAAGGTACATTAACTTTCGTTAACTTAAGATGGTCTACCCTTTCCTATTCCTGAAAACATTACATATCTACTAAAGAGGACAACTGCAACATGCATACACAATGATGACTACGTTAGCATAAAATAATTAGCAAAATGACAATACAAAGGAATGGATACTTACACAACTTTTGGTGCAGTGCATAGGTGAAGCATTTGCCAGAAAGTATATTCAATATCCATTTGTTGCCACTACATAAGGCGAGAAGAAAAAAGGGAAAAAGAAATTTAATGAGAAAAACCAAAAATAAGCAAACATGATTGGATGATGGGATGACAATATTATCATTAGTGCTTTCATGCGTCCAAAGAAGAATAGTGATAGCGATGATGATTACACTGTATTAACAAGAGCCTATAATTTCTTTCTTATGAAAAAGAAAAATGGATCATTCCAATAGAAGAAAAGTCAGCCATGATAGACATAGCAGATCGTAATGGGCATATGTCCTCATGTAATATTAGAAATCTTTTTCATCCCATAAATACTAATAAGCATACCATTTTCTTTTTTCAGAAGAGAAGAAACAGTCCTAACTAGAAAGCAGCTCCATCGTTAAGATTTTCAATGATTAACAGTTTAACACATTTACTTATCAATGGCTGTCAATTATTCAAAAGATTTGAAAATATAAATTCAAGAACCTATGTACTTCTAGAATTACCAAATCATATCAGATTTATCCACACAGAGGAGGAATGTGCTTCTAGAATTACCAAATCATATCAGTAAATGAATTCTCCCCAATATAATCAAGAACAGGAACGCCTATACAGAGCAGGATCAACAACATAAACCAAGGAGCTAGCAGCTAAAACGGATAAAACAAGCAGCATTTGGAAAGCAAGGCACCTAAATTTGATCCAATCCAATCCAATCTAGAGCTGCGCGCATGATTTTAAAACGTAAACTTGAGTAACATGGAGACAGATCGAGAAAGAAATGGGAGGAGAAACGGACCTTGACGATTCGCCGAAGGTACTGAGGAAACATTGGGTTGGGTCGAGATGTGGAAGCCGAGGAACGGCTTCTGTTCACCGTCGGTAACATCTTCTAAGGCTTTCTTATTCTCTGTCGATCTTCCTTGGGCGAAATTATTCGATAGAAGATCTGCTGGATCTTCTACAGCTTTCTGGTTCTGGCAATCTGGCCCCGGAGACGCCGAGACGGGAAGTTGACAACAACAACGAGTCAGTCTCCGGTAATGGGCTTGTGGAGTTTCATTTTTTCTTGGGTTGCTTGTTTTAGCATGGGTTGGACTGGTTGTGTAACATGGGCTAATTCCCTTATTATTATTATTATTATTATTATTATTTCTCTTTTTGGTACAATTTTTTTTTTTTTAAATTTACTATCAGTGTCTCATTGATAAATTTTTATACATTTCAAAACTAATTTATTTTCAAATAATATTAAGGGTACACCCTTATATTGTTTGATTCATTTAAGAAAATTAATTTCTTTAACGATTAACTCCAAAACTTAAATCTTAATTTTGACCCACAACATGATAATTGTTTATTAATAGATCTAAGTCTTAGGATTTAAGGTGATGGGGTTTTATCCAATTCAAGGTGAGGTGTGTGGAGTAGTAGAATTTAAATATATCCAAGTATCATACAATTCAAATTCAAAATCTCTTATTTCTACTGAAAAGAGATTATTATTAAGTTATTTAAGTTATTGTTAAATTTTATTATTTTTATTTTTAATTTTTTGATATTTCACCACCTAATGTGGACCACCTGGAATTAAGAAGCTCACGTTTCAATTTCATCTAGCAAAGCCTTGTATAATGAAAGAGTAATGATACAGGCACCGATATTTGGAGGACGAATTTAAGGGGCGACTTACGTGGCTTGCCACGCACAAATACCCCAACCCCACTGACTGATTTGGGTTTTTATTAAAAAGGGTAAAATTTTTAATTTATCAAATGTCGATTTCTCTTTCGTCTTCATCACTCCTGAGCCCCAACCCTAACCAACCGAATGAAGATGAGGAAAAGGAGAACCAACCAAATTGATGAATTTGAGTCATTGAAAACTAGTAAAATTGATGAATTTGGGTCATTTAAATGAAAAACTAAAAAGTTGATATCCTCGTATAGAAATAGAAAAAGTTTAGATCCTTATTTAATAAACTCTAGAAAGTTAGTCCCATCTTGTTCACCTTCTACGTTAGGTTACAGACGGGCTACTGGGATATCTTCTTTTTCAGTCTGAATTCTCCCACCGACGCCGGATTCACCTTTTTCCTCCGACAGGCAGATCCCGAAACCCTTCTAAATCCTCGGTCAAACAGGAATTAATGTTATCTTCCTAGAAACCTCAAAGTCACGGTGCTATTAGGGTTTCTAGACGCAATGTCGACTGGCGCAGCAGCGAAGGACGCCGATTCGCAGTTGGCGTTGGCGGAGCAGAAATTGGGATTGCCGCCGCGTCCTCCTTCGTCAGCATCGACAGCGATTGTAGAGTATGAGAAACCGGCCTTTAAGGAGGAAGAGGAAGACCTAGAGGTGAAACTCCGCCGCATCATTGAGAATGTTCCTGTCCGCGTTAGCAACACCTCCGGAAGTTCTGCTGGCTCTGGCTCGGGTGACTTCCACCAGGTATTTTAGCACTGTGGAGTAGAATTACCAGATTTGTTTTCTGCATTTTGGTTTCTCTTGGTTACTTGGTCACTGTGTTTCTTTTGATATCATAATTTGATGTAATTGGCATTTCAACATTGTTGCAAATTTCATTGTTTCTTGGGTTTGTGGTACTTAAGGAAAACTCTTTTGTGATTAAGCCATTTATGGTTGATTTGGGTAGGCAGGTTTCTGTGTAGAAGGTAATTCTGACAATGGATCTTTACCAATGCACTATACAGGTGCTGTACCTAGGAAGTTATTGTTGCTACATTTACCGATCTAAGAGAAGCTTGCTGTAGAAATTGTGCTGTTGTCTACAAGTGCTGTTGTTATTTGTCTCAACCTAGTATGTTGTGTTGCATGTGTCTAGGGGGGAGAGATCATCAATGTTAACCTAACCCGTGTGTTCGTGGCTCCTTAGTTTGGTGTTTTCTTCAAACTTGCTTTTCTTCCGTGTTTGTTACTATATATTTGATGAAAAATTAACTTCTTTTTTTTCCAAAGTTTAGTGTCTTGGATTGTTGGTTAGACATCTAATCATTTATAGCATAAAACAGAGTGTCTACTTTTACTTTCTTTAGTGTCTTTGAATTGTGAAGAATGATTACATATAATCCTCTTTTATTTTGAAACTATTTCTTAATGTAAGGTTAGCAAAAAAACTTGGTGAAGTCTCTTTTTCCACACTTTTCACTTATTGAAGTCATTGTTCTTGTTTCATCTTTGTCAGTGAATTTTTGGTTGTGATTGGAGGTTTCTTTAGTGTCTCTGGACTTGTGACTGATGATTAGATGTAGTCTACATGGTTTTATGGCAGTTGCAGCTTCCTTCTTATATATTTTTTGTATTATTGTTTTTTATAGTTCATTTTGGTGGTCCATGTAAGGCAAGACATTCTAAGATTTTTTGTTACTGCCTATATGTAAATAATTTTTTTTAACTTACAGTTAGTTGGGCATGATGAAAATGGAAAATTTTGTGACCTACAGGTCTTAAAAACTTCTATTTATTCTTAATTTTCTTGCAACAGTACCGACAAATGAGAAGGAAAGAGCAAGACAGACTTGCAAGGATGGATGCAGACTACCAGAGAAGGAAAGAAGTGGCTGAATTCAAAATGAGGAGGGAAGAAAGAATGAAAGCTGCTGAGGAACGGACAGCAAAGAAGCGTTTGAAACGCCAAAAGAAGAAGCAAAGGAAGAAAGAGAAGAAGACAAATTCAAGTGCAGGAGGAGAACAACATCAGAAAGAAGAGTCTTCAGATGATGAAGGTGACTCTGACAATGTTGAGGAAGCAGCAAAATGAACAAATGAATTCTAATGGCATTAACTTGGATCTTGCAAGATAAACACAAGCAGTTGCGAAGGAAAACGAAGCTGCAACAACCTCAAAGTTTCTATTGGCAGGGTTGGTCTACTTTGTATGTGTACTTGTATGCATAATTGACTAATGCTTTCTGAATAAAATAAAGGGGGAAATGAGGAGGAAAATTTTGAAATTAGTTTAGTTACTGAAATATGTCTGTTATCAGTCGCTTTTTTTTGCTTAGTGCAAACGTTGCTAACACTTCAGATATAGCACTGACACTGGTCCCTGCCCTAGACATGGGATTATTGAGTTGAAGTATGCTTAAGGATTAAGGAAAAAGAAAGGCAACCACTGTCTTTTTTTTTTTTTTTTTTTTTGAGGGAAAGAGAGCCAGCAACAAAAGTAGGTAGATGATGGTGATCTGTTTCTGAACGAAAGCGAGCCAAAGCAGGAAAGGTACTGAGTCTTAGTGGCGTTTAGTAAAGTTGTTTATGGTTTTTGATATTGGTTGTTGAAATTTGAGTTATTAAAATTAGAAACTGAGTGTCAAAACTTGAAATTAAAATTGACAACTTGTTATGTACACAAGAAATAACTAAAACTGAACATTTTTTTCCGTTTAGTTTTATTTAACATTTTAAAATTTTTAGTAACTAAAAGAGAAAAAAGGGTACTAAGGAGACTCTAAACTAAATAGTCTACTTGACATGGTTGGTCGTTTTCATTTAAAGTCATATGTGATATTTTATATATATTTATACATTTAAACTTGACATAGTTAGTTCCTTTTATTTAAAAATTCATACGTGATATCTTATGTATTTACTCATTTAATATTACATCAAATTTTAAATAAAAATAATATAATTATAATATTATATGATATTATAAATTTATAATATAATGGTATCGTTAAATAAATAATTATTTTTTTGGTACCATTATATAATTGATTTTTTTTAAAGATTTACTAATAATAATATATGTATCAACTCATTTAATAATATATTACAATTATAAATTTATAATCTTATATAATATTAAAAAAGAAATTGATTTTAAGACAACTTTTTATCCCACCTTTTTGTATAACCTAACGTGTCATTTACATGATTAGTTCTTTTTATTTATGTGAGTCCCATGATATTAAATACATCTATTCATTTAATAACATATGAAAGTTACATAAAAAATTATATAAAAAATTGCCCTTATAATACCACCATATTAAAAATATAACATTGACTTGTTTTAAATAAAAATTGTGTAATTAAAGTTGTGCATGTTGCATCCCAATTCTTTGTTAGGCATTCTATTAGCCACTGGGCTTCAAGTTAGGGATTGTGGGCCAATTATTCAACCCAACTCAATCCTAAATACGTCACTTCCTCAATTGCTTTCTCAACAATTTTGCATTTTCCTTTCTCCCTCCCTCCCCTTCCTTCTGAAATCAGTTTCAGAAACCGTAATCGCCATGGTAGAATCGAATACATCTCGTCGCACATCCGTTCATCAAGCTCTCGGCGGCGGTTCAGGTCTCATCTCTCTTCCTCTTTGTCTCTCTATGTTCCTCAGTAGTGCATTTATTGATGCAGTCGTGTGATTTCATTTCTTCGCAGATCTGTTTCACTATCACTGATGATTACACGATCTTGTTAATTGAATCGAATTTGTTTTGGGGTTTATTGTGTGTTAATTTGAGAATTCGGATTCTTATTTATTTCATGTTCTCTGATTTTTGTTTCTGGTGGTTATTGATGTGATTGCAGTCGCTGACTTGCTTTTGTGGAGAAAATGGTGTGGAGGGATTGTGTTGCTGATTTCTGCGTCTACCATGTGGTTCCTCTTTGAAAGAGCGGGTTACAATTTCTTATCTTTTGTGTCTAATGTTTTGTTGCTCCTTGTTGTCATCCTCTTCTTCTGGGCCAAATCAGCTTCCCTTCTGAACAGGTAATTTCCCCCCTTTTCATTATTGTTGTAATCTTTGATCATTTCAACATACCCCACTTTCCACGGAATAACGTTTCCCGCAAAACAGTGTAATCTGTAAAGGTTTACGTTTTGATTAGAGTAATCACTAAAACGTGGATGAATTCTCAAATATTTGTAATTTAATTAATCATAATGTAGTGGAAGAAGCCTTTAGTGGGAAAAAAAAGATTGCAAATGTTTTTGAAATTACTTCTGAATTGGATAATAGAAGTGGGCTTTGTTGTTTGGATGTGGGTTTAGTATGGAAAAATATTATGTTTTTGTTGCAGACCTCTACCTCCCATTCCTAATTTGGAAATTTCCGAGAAGACTATTGTGCTAGTTGCTGATGAGTTGCGAGCGAGGATCAATTACGCATTGTTGATTGCACACGACATTGCAATAGGCAGAAATTTGAAAGTTTTCCTTCTGGTTTGTTGTTACCCATCTCTATTAATATTCACTGAGAATCTGAGATGAAGTTTTTGTATAATAAATTTTATAAAGTAATTAAACATCAGTAAATTCAAAGAATGTCTTCTACTACAGGTTGCCTGTGGCTTGTGGTTAATATCTTATATTGGTAGTCTTTTCAACTTCCTCACTCTTGTTTATATTGGTAAGTTGTAACCAAATTCTGTTTCTGCCAGTAATAGTTATATTTTACTTTCTTTATAGGTGCTTAGTATATACTTTTGAGACTGTCTGCAGGAATTCTTCTTAGTCTCTCGGTACCAGTGTTATATGAAAAGTACAAGGACCATATAGATGAGAAGCTGTGTATAACGCATGGAATCATTCAAACACAGTACAGGAAGATTGATGAAAATGTCCTAAAGAAGTTTTTAGTGCCCAACAAAGAAAAGAAGATCCAGTAGGCAAGTTACTTTTAACCCTCTCAATCACTTTTAGGATTGTTGTCTGGATGCTAGAATGCAAGTAGTTTCCTTATCATTTTCTATTGGACCATGCAAGCATTTTATTATACTGTGTTAAACTGATTTTAAACAGCACACTGTGCACAAATATGGCTTTGATCAAGGTTGCAGAAAGCACTAGGCGGTGGTGGGTGTTTCCCCACCACCTAGAGCCTAGGCTGCCTAGGCATTTTTTAAGCATTTTTCAAAATTTCTACTTTTCTTTAGAAAATCTGGAAAAATCATAAAAATAATAAAAAATAAAGAAAAAAGCTAGATAAATTCTAAAAAAGTAAAAACAGTTTAAACATTTCTAAATTATCAGTGTGGTTATAGCCACCCACCATTTTGTTAAGGCCACTCAAAGTTGTTTAGTTTGACTGATATTTTATTTGTTTGTAGTTTTTTCTCTTAAATAGCTGTTATAATGTCTGAAAATATCAATTTATAAACTAATTTCAATATGTTGAATAACAAATATTAGTTATTTTATCTATTATCAGCTATTTTTAACAGTCAAACTAAACAGAATTGGGTGGCATTAACAAAATGGTGGGTGGCCATAACCACACCCAATTTCATGATTCAATATTTCTGCAAAACTTATACTGAACAGCACTTTGACAAAATTCCAGCTAGGCCAAATGGGTTCTTAAAGTGCTAGTCCCTTTTATATTGTTATTGCAAATCATACACAAAACAAAAGGAAGTGGTACGAGCATGTCATCCTCCTCCGAAGCTTCAAGAACATCTTAGTGCTGTTCAGTGAGGCTCTTGTGGTGCATTCTCAATACCTTAAAAATGAGTATTGTAGCAAATAGTTCATGCATATCATGTCCACAAAGTAATGCTGATGTGTGATAATAACCATAATGCTATCACCTGCAGGATATGCTAATCTATGATAAATTATTAGCTAAAAGGTCTCTTATTTACTGAAGTTTTTCTTTTATAATTGAATGCATAGCCAAACCAGCGTTTTGAGACCATTTGTTTGGCATTGAACATAAACATGTGTGGCTAACTTAGTTGATTGTCTAGGTTGTGAATATAAATATAAAGACGTTCACTGCATAATTCTGTTACTTTAAATATAGAAGGCAAGCTTGTTGATGTGTGTTGTGTTGTTTGGTTTTTGCTTGCTGCTTCTGTGCCTCACTCTGTTGCTTTCAAAACACTGAAGTATTTGCATATTTTATACTGTTTATCAGGTTGTTTGGTGTGGCCATGGGCATAGAAATTGGCTTTTCGATATGTGGAGCTTTGAGTTTCTTTTTGCTGGGATGACATCAATTTGCAGTTAAGACAGTCTATAAGAGCAGGATGGACTAACCCTATAGCTTCTACGTTTGCCAAAAGATGGAAATTATTTTGTTTTTTTTTTCCCACATGTGAAAACCATTCTCTGGATGGTTTTTGGTAATGTAGGTTATAAACCTTGGTTTGTGCTTTAATATTCACTTCCAGTAAATAATGATAACCTCAATGTCTGAGAAAAGCTTGTTTGCATAATAGAATTCACATTCATTAATTTATTTGCTATGGTCTTTTAATTGTGCTTTTATGCTGAACAATATGAATATAGCTCCTGTCTTATTCTTGTTTCTATTGCTAAACAAAGATAACCTAGTTAAAGAGGCCAGTGACGGGTTTCTATTTGTATTAATACCGACTCATTAGATGGAACCATGCAATCAAAAATGCACATGAAGATGTAGTACAGGAAGAATAATTTTTTTGGTACGTGTACTTGGAATTAGTGATTTTCTTCCCAAATCTCTTACCACTCATTTCAAGCTGTCGACTAGAAACTCTCGTTCTAGAATCTCAAGTTCTCACCAGTAGAGGTGCTCACAGGCGCGTCTCGAATTGCTACCCAACAATTACAAAGGTGTTGGGTCTATTGACCATTCATTGCCTCAATAACTACATCAGATGCTTGAAAGAATAATGACCAATAAACACCAAATCCTGGAAATTCCCATTCTCAATCTCAGGATCTCTGATTATCTTTGAATTTGGGACAATGACACCAAAAGCGTTGAAGGTATCATACAAAAGTTTCTCATCCGCACAAGGGATCAAGATTTCTAATAAAAAGGTTGCACCCACATCCAACCCCCGTTTATCTCAAGACACCCAAATTTATATATATCCACTCTTTTGATACCAAATGACTGATTATTTGTGAGAATTTATTGTCGTATATCATATTAATTCCTAAATATTTATTATTATAAAAGAATCTTAGATAATATATATATATATATATATATATTATTCTTCCAAATATCCTTGACTTGCAGTACGTATGGATCTCTCAGTCAAAATCTGAGGATTCCACATTTTTAACAAATAGAACTATAAAATCATGTTCTTGATAAAGCTTCAAACTCAACATTTACCCGGGGAGTCAGAATTTATGCAACTTGTGGAACGGAAATAGTTTCTGCAAGAGGTAAAGTAACCCACCGCAATAGCTCCAGTGAGAACACAAGCCCCAGGAAATGAGAAAGGATGGTGTTAGCTGATGCCTATATGTGCAAATAAAAAGGGAAAATTGTGATCATGATAAGGCATCACTAATGAAGAACATTCCCTGCTTAACTTTTAGAGAAGAGAAAGAGTAATATGAGTAAAAGTCAAGTAAAATTTCACAGGTTTAGTAGGGAGCTTGCATTGGTTCTAATTACCTGCACCAAGAATACATCCAATGCAAGAACTGGACTATAGCCAGGAGAAACTCTCTGGTAAGGATTTGCTGAGGAAGTAAGAGCCTTTGCAACCAATAGTCCCACTGTGGCTTGCATGCCAAGAATAGTAGCACCCATTCCTAGAAGATTCAACACTATACCATTTCTCAAGCCTTTAATGACATCAGCACGAGGTGGAGCCTGACAACTCAAGCAACAAATAGAAGTCATTGAAAAATGCAATTAGGCAACATTCATAATAAAAACTCAAATATACCCTGATATGGGCAGCCACCTCAACCATCAACTAATGTCCAAGACTAAAAGCAAGCAAAAGGATCACTCAGCTTGTATAACTTAACTGTTATCCTACTTAGACACTTTTGACAAAGAAAGTATACTTAATATTAGTATGATCTGCAAGGAATAAAATTATCAGTTTTATGCTGGACCACAAATCCTAGCAGTAGCATCAAATTGTTCCTATTTGCCTCTAGTTTTAAAAGGGGACATACTCACTACCATGGAACATCATTTAAAACTAGTTGCTATTGCCAGTTAATTAAACAACCTAAAGTTGAAATCAGTTTGTCCTCATTCTTTGAGCATAAGACTACTTAAACAGCTCATTTTTCAAAACCAGTAAGATATGGTTGTATTCTAAGGATGATTCTCAGGAATCATAGAAGGAAAATGTGAATTATAACTCTTGGTGAACACTATCTTGAATTTCAATTTCCAAATAATCCTAATGTGAACTTTCAGGACTCTTTGCACATTCTCAAGGAGATGAGGCGACCAAAATCTAAAGAAGGTATGTTGAAATGGCTAAAGCAAGCTTAAACCGAAAAAAAGTGGTGGAAAAAAGTATAAAGCAAATTCCTTGAAGGAGGGATCAACACATTTACATCAATTAAGTGATAGGAGATGTAAGAAATCATTAAAATTAAATTTCTAAATTATGGAACTTGGTGCACATTATTTTAGTAATTCAGTAAGGATATGAACTAGATTTCTCTTCTTCCTCCCCTAGTGATCTCTATCCCCTCCTTTGCAATTATTATTCTGTACTCAGATACATCACTAAAAAGGTAAATGCATAATCAATAACATTTCGATCTTAAGATAAAAATGTCACACACACACGCTCAACCAATATTGTACACAAAAAACATGTCTCACAGAACTGAAGTAAAGCATTCTGACTAAAGCACCTTAAATGCCATTATTAATCCATAACACTGTTAGAACTGCAAAAGTAATCTCAATGTGCAATACCTTGGAAGGCTCACTAGCAGTACTTTTAAGCTTGTCCGCAAGCCGAATATACCCAAATGACCAGAACACTGATACAAATGCTGCTGCTATACCACCAGCAGTAGCATAAAAAGTAGCAGGAGATGAGATTTGCCCAGTAATAACAACTGAAAACGAAAGAATCACAGCAGCCACCATAGTGCACACTAGCTGTACCCAGAACCCTAAACTGCCCAATCTCCTAAAATACCTTGATGTGTTCTCCAACCTCTTCGAAACCTACACCATCAAATCCCCAAATTAAATAAAAAACTTCATAATCCACCAAACCAAAACCCTGATACACTATCCAAATTTGACGCAAGCATTTAAACCATGTGAAATGTTGAGGCTTTTACTTCCTTCTCAAAATCATTTCTGTACCCAGAAGATTATAAACCGAAAAATTGACAAAAGTACACCAAAGAGCTAAATCAAATATCATTTGAACAATGTTGATTGACACATAGTTAGAAATTGCTGTTTGGCTATCGGTTTAAGTAAAATTTTCGAAAGCAAACTGAAGAGAAAGAGGGGGAGAGAACCTTTGCCTTCTCAGTGTCATCATTAGAGGTGAAAGGGGGTGGAACTGAAGAGGAAGATATTCTGGTGAAAGAGAGTTTTGATCCTGTGCAATTTGAAGCAAATAAGGAGAAGATGACGGGTTTTGCTTTCTGGGTGTTGGGTGAAGTGAGAAAAGTTGGAGGCGAGGGAGTGATAGATGGTCGGTGGCGGCAGGGTAATTTGCCCACCGCCACCGCAGAAACGCCATAGTGAGATACCGGCAGTAGCAGCGTTTGCATGATCAAAAGAAGAGTGCGTGATTTGGGCAATGAGTCCGTTTTTCTTTTGGCACCGCTTAAATTCCACGGCGCTCCTCAGATTACTTGCTCGCCGCTAGTGTACAGAAAACTGTAGAGCCAATGTTTGTAAAGGCTTCCCTATCGCGGGCATAAAGTGCATGTTAAAAGATAAAATAAAGGCAAAACCATAAGTTAAGCCCCTGAACCAACCCCAGAATCGCTATTAAGCCCCTAGACTGTAATTGATGCATATAAGCCCTTGAA